TAGACGACCTCCTAACCACCATTTCAATTTTTTGGAAAATTCAAGAAACCTGCAGTTTGATAAACGAGTTTTCCGCAATACGTTAATGGTAATACAGATTAGGAAAATCCACAGATATAAATCAACAACACTTCTAAATAGAGGAAAATAAAAATGCATTTAGCATTTATTAAAGTATATTCCACTGCGTGTCCTAACTTCCCACCCATAAAAGCCAATAAACACCGTTTTCATAGGAAAACATGCAGGTTGTAGGGATTAATGTGTGGAACTACATAAGCTACTGTTGCCGATAACTCAACGTAGTTACTAATGCAACACGGGAGGGGAGGGGATGGAGAGCGATTCGGTGCGGACTCAACGCATTCATTCATTGTTGACAAAAAAAATCGGGTCGGGCACGTACATGTGCACTCTCGCCCCCGCGAGGTGATACGTGTTCTTACACACGTATATATAAAAGGGCAAAAATCGCATTTGCAGTGCATTTAAACCAGTGTAAATGCATCAACCAAAACTTGAAAGGTAATGATAGACAACCGTCGGTTAATTTAAAAAATAAAAGTTATATCAAAGGTAATATTACGGTGGTTAGAGATAAAAATTTCCGGTAAAGATTCCTTAAAAACACCAACAACAAGCACAGGATTGTGTAATACGGGACCGGTGTTAAAAGGGGTTATATTGGTCGAGCATATCGGGGCGAAGGAAATAAATTTTTAAAAATATAAAGTATAAAAGTATGGCAACGGTAAAGTGCGCAATGATTACATAATTAACAAATACTACGTAGAAAGAAATCGAGGACAATTTTATAAACCACCGCGATAGAAATAAGAGGAAATCAGGAGCCAATGGGAAGTACAACCATTAGGCAACAAGAACTGAGCAAATAATACCGGGAAATGGCCACAATTAATTGGCTGATATGGAGAGCAACAGTGGTATCCGTGCGCCTATGGGATCAGTTGATTTGCAAACAGACAAACAAGAAAGTAGCGGCGGAATGTAAGTTAGTGTGTTAATTTAAAAAAACAGGGGAATGAGGTTGTCTCTTTTTAAAGTTGAATGAAGATAATGTTAATGAAATATAAAACGAAATGAGTAGTAAGGTATGTATAGTTAACTCTAGTGGCGTTTATAAGGAACCCTTACCCAATGTCCTAAAGAAAATCGGCAATATTTAAAAAGCAGAGATTGGGCCAAATGGTTCGATTCAAAACAGCGTAAGCAGTTCACGAATAGCGTGTAAGAAGCGAACAGTTTGCTCAACAACTCGACGCAATTTCCCCGTTTTTGACTGTTCAAAAAAGAGTTTTCAAGGCCTGGAGAATTTCACTTTGTTACACTGATGGGGATGTCACAAGAATAAAAGATTTCACGAGGCTACTGAGCTTTTTAACCTGAGCCGCCATTTCTCCTTTTCTTAATTCCCATGAGCATTTATCATATGTTAATTGGTTGATATATGTTTTTCATTAAATAATGATTTTACCTTTTCTTTGTTTATTTTAACTATAACAATGAGGTCAGCTGGCGCACAACCAGCGACTCATTTACTGACGATTGGTCATCAGGATGTTGAGAGTTGCCGCTTTCGCCCATTATACATCTTTTGTGGTCTTCCGTCGCTATCTGTGCTGTGCAACCTTTTTTGTCCCCGATGAATATAGGAATTTTCGATGAACACTTTGGAAGGTTACTTTTAAAAATGAAGCGTCATCTCCTCCTTCTGCCTTCGGTTTCTAATCCCTTGGCCCGGTCAGAACTTTTCCATGACACGAGAGAGAGAGAGAGCGAAAAGCAGTTTGAGTAGGAATGTTACCACGCCCCAGTCCTAGTACGTATTCGCGATGCACACGGGAAACAGCTGATGCCAAAGCAGTAAAACAAAACACACCTACTATTACGAAATAAGTAGGTAGTTATAGTATAAATAAGCGATAGTGAGCCGAAACGTAACTGCCACCGTGATGTCGAATTCACAGTTACCTTCAGCGAAAACTACGCTGCGGCAAGTAAAAGTTTCGCATATGTTGACACACAGACTGCCGATACACAAGGACTCAACTCTCCTGACGGCTGCCTCTTGCGCGCTGACGGAGATTTTTAACACTTTTAATGATCTTCGAATATTACTTCCATTA